AATTTTAGAACGGCCCGTTCCAACGATGAGTGTAACACATACCTGGTTACTCTAGAACGGCCATTCCAAATGAAGTTTTTTAGGCCTTTTAAATAAAAAAATAATAAATAAAAAATTAAGTAGCTCAGAACGGGCCGTTCCAAATTCGGAACGGGCCGTTCCAAGTTACAAAAAAAGAACAACAACCCTAATTTAGAACGGGCCGTTTCAAAATGGGAACGGGCCGTTCAAAGAGACTCCGATGCTAAAGTTAGTGTTTGTGAGAGTATGTGTCTCGTATAAGTAATGCACGTACCTTTTTGTGGATTAGGGTTTTGTTGGGCCTTGGGCCCGAGATCAGTTTATGACCTAATTGGATAGCGAGCCGATGTCGCCTAGCGCGTGTCTGAGGTCACTCCGCGCTGTGATGCCGAGCTCGAGCTCGGCATAACGGTACGGATAGTACATTAACTATGAAAATACTTGTTAAAAGAATACTTAGGTAAATTATTTAGAGAGACAAGTCAAAGAATACCTAGGGTTTAGTCAGGAGTAGTTTGATAAAAGAATACTTGTATCTTTGTTTAAAGATAGTGAAACTCAATTTTGTAACGACCCGCCATGGCCGTCACACTACGGAACAACACTACACACTACAGGAATATATATATACTAAAATAGTATATAAAATATTTACAACACAAGTTGCTAATTAAGCAACCAATAGCAACCAACTATATACAACATAATATTCTACTATAAGGTAGCCAACAAAAAAAAATCCAATCCAACTCTAGGCACCTCCTGTGGCCTCTAGCAGCTATCTCCCAGCTTATCCTTGCCCTGCTCCCATACAACGTATGATCATCGCAGTCCAAACCACATGGAAACATGCAAGGGTAAGCTAGAGACAATAAGCAACTCATAATAATTAATTATGCAACAAAACAACTATATAATCATCTTGACGTCCAACATAGAAGACAACAACATGTATACTATACATCTTAATATCATTTCAACTTGATTCAACATATCACCACTGTATCAATACTTTAACGCAACTACTGTACAAACCATTGGAATAGTTACCATATTCATCATAATAACAACCAACACATGTATTGCACACCTCTCAACAACACATGTTTAAAAACAACTTACAACACAGGTAATCTAGCAACGCTAGCATCATCATCAACTTGTATACAAATAAGCAACTTACAACATAACAACACTATCATCATCCTCAACAGGGTCAACATACAACACAATCACAACTTAACAACACAACAGAACATATACAACTCATATCAACATCAATTAAACACATCAACAGCTTATGTGTCGTCACACATTTCAACTCGGAGATTTCCTACAACATGGGTGAGCAATTTAAGTGGCTAGGTCTTACCGAACCGACAACAAAGAACCTTTTTGGGCTTGTTGGGTAAACAACAAATTTAGATGCCAATCCACAGCATGATAACGATTTCTCAGACTTTGCTACTTAAACAAGGAAGTATAGTACTATGTCAGGATAGAACAGCTGGGTTTAGGCCTACCACGACATTTGCCAGCTCAACTAAGCCATCTATGGGATTAGCCTACCGACTATCATCCAAATACTACAACCCTCCGATACTCGGTTAGGAATTAAGTTCCTGACTTCGTACTTTACTCAAATTGACCGCTTGTAATCGGTATAACTCGACCTGACCCCTATACTGTGGTCGTTTTGTACACGTATGAACTAAGTCCTATAGGAGAACAACACAACGTCCACTCCAAGGGGCAACTTCCCAAGGAGGGTTTTTAACAAATTAGGCTCTCTTAGTACCACAGCATTCTCAATCCACACAATGAGATGAGCAACTTTGAAAACATCTCCCCTAGTCCTAGTGATCAACAACTCATCATCACAGCTTAATTAGCTTACAACTCAACAGCATAGCTCAGCTCAACAACTTAAACAGCATGATCAACTCAATAGCACAACTCAGCTTAACAACTTAAACAACATGATCAACTCAAAAGCTTAACGGCTCAACTCATAATCTACAACTCAATCATCATAATATAATATCTTTCAATACATAGTACAACATACAACTTTTCTCTAACAACTTAGCAACACAATCTACTAATAACATCTATATAAATCTCAACACATCTACACACTTCACATCATGCTTCTCACAACACAATATTATCATCATGCACTTCACAACTTTCAACTAGATCATCTCATCATATATCACAACGTATAAATGGTCCAAACATAACATATATTCAACACATTTCTATTTAACACAACAACTCATTTAGCACCTATACACAACTACACAGCTCCACAACTCAACTACAACATGTATCTCATTTACATCCTATCTTCATCACAAAAGCATCACCAAACAGCATCATTAATCAATATTATCAACACACAACATTTTCATCACATAACATAACTTATTCTACATGTTTACAACCCATCTATCATGCCAAATTACCCACCCAAACAACACCAATCAACCTAAGCACCTAAAATAACTTTCAACTTAACCAATTCACTCCTTGTGAAATGGCAACCTTCACATAAAATAGCGTATCAGGAGTTATACTACTCCTATCATGCTCATTCTTATCTCATATTAAATATAAGAAGATTTCCTACAACTCTCATGAAAACACCAAGTCCTACTTCCTTCATCTACCTTGTTAAAAATTCTAAAAACCGCAACAGCTATAACCAATGCTGGCAGCTTGACCTCTTTTCACTAAAATAGCCATATCTTGAGTTCTAGAACTCCTTTTTGTGTGATTCTAGAGCCATTAGAAAGCTAACATCCAAGGCTACAACTTCCATGAAGACCTCAAGACCAAATTCGGTCATATAGCCCCAGCGCTGCAGCGCTCAATCCAGCGCTTTAGCTCTAACTCTCTGCCAATCCATTTCCTTTTCACGGCCATGGCTGCAAGTTTCTGCAATTCTAATTTTTTTTTCACAGCTATGGCTGCAAAACCACAGCCATGGATGCAAAACACAACCATGGCTGCAAGTCTCTGCCCTCACATTTTTCCCCTCTCACGGCTATGGTTGTGAATCCACAGCTATAGCTGTGGGTTTCTGCAAGTGCATTTTTCCTCCACGGCTATAGCTGTGAATCCACGGCTATAGCTGTGAATCCACGGCTATAGCTGTGGGTTTCGGAACTTCCAAAACTCCATGGATTTCACCTTCGTTTTCACTTAAATCCTCCATGAACTTGCAATCCAAGGAGACTCAAACCATGCTACAACTCAAATGCACCACTTCCAACCACATGGAACCCAAAAACATCAAGAATCACAACATGCATGCACCAAGATTCAAGAGATCATCAAGAACAACCACAAGGTTTCAGTTTTACCACATGCAACCAACCTAGCTCAATTAATAAGCTCCCAAATCACATCCTATATGAAGATCCAACTACATGCAAGCCAAAATGTATGACAAATTCGAGTTCTAGCTTCCCTTACCTCAAATCGAAAAGAGAATCTGAGCTTTGAGTTTACAGGGAAGAAGAAGAAGAGGAAGAATAGAGACAAGGTTGTGGCTTTGAGCTTCCTTGCTCTTCAATCTTCAGCAACCTTCAAGAAAATCAATGGAGGAGATTTTCAAAAGAAAGAGTGAAGGAGGAAGAAAGAATAGAAAGGAAGGAAAATGAGTAGGAGAGGATTCATGGTTCTCACAAATTTAGTTGGATTGAGAACTAGACGTAGTTTTCGTGACTAAGGCGAACCAGTACAAAAATACTAAATGTTTCATTTGACTTTTTTGCTTCATGTAAATGTTGTTTCTAGCCCATCTATATATCTATATTTATCTATTTATCTATATATATATATATATATATATATATATATATAAAGATAACCGATAGGTCCCTTAAATTTATTTTTGTGATATCTAGTCCCTAAATTTTAATTTCACTGTGTAAGTTAGTTTTTTGTTATATCAAATTACTAATTTTGTTTGTTTCTTGAACAGACAATAGTTAAGTACCATATTCACGCTTATTCTCTCTATAGTTGACGGTTCTTTCACCTATAATTGAAAAAAAATAATTCAAATTTATAATTTTTTATTAAATGTGTATTTTGTTTTATTAAAAGTTTTAAATTTAAATTTAAAAGTTTAAAAAAATATCTTTTAAAAAATTAGGATTGATTGATTTTCCCCAATTTTGGACTAGTTCCACATGCTCTGGAGTGATTTTCACCATTTTTGAGATGCTCCGATTTTTGTTAATTATTGGACTTGTTAGTTTGATCTGATTTTCAAAACAATGGAAGAAATTATTAGATGGTCTCAACCACGTGATTTCTAACTAATGTGAAGATATATAATAAGTGTAATTAATATTTTCTCATAAATTAATAAAACTTAAATTTATATTACACAAAGATTTGTTAAGACCATAGACACGGTAAGGATTACGTAATAACTTATCCGTAGTCTTCTATTTGAAAACTAATTCTGAACTCTTCACTGTTAGCACAAGGTAGTCCCTACAGACACACCGAGCCCATTTTCCGTAAAATTTGGGCTTGGCCAAGCCCACAACATATTAAGACCTTTTTTGCTTGGTAGGTTAAGGTGAGGTTACTCACTACAAGTTGCAATGCTTACAAATGACTAGAGAATAAGATGAAAATTGTCACGCACATTTATGTAGCTGAACTATGATATGGACAAGGTTGATTTGCCAACAATTTTGGACCATTTTTCTTTAGGCCGGTGATAAACACACCTCCATTTTTATATAAATACACCTCTTTTTTTTTTTAAATATATAAAATTTCTAAATTACCCTTATTTGCCCCTTTTTTTTTTTTTTTTTTCCATGCACCTCTCTTCTTCTTCTTCCTCCGCACGCACACCTCTCTTTTTCTTTTCTTTCTCCTCCGCACACCTCTCTTCTTCTTCCTCCTCCGCACGCACACCTCTCTTTATAAGTTGTATCATTGACGTTGTTATATGCGTGAGGTTTACAAAATTATGCATACCTTTGAGATCTACTTTGGTACCAGCTAAAGCAGAAACAACATACAACCTGTTTTTCTTGTCCTATTTAAATTAAAAAAAAGTGTAGCAATCAGAGCACAAAACGCATAACAATTTAAAACCAAAAAAGGATAAAGAATATATAGATTTCAAATTTCAGTTAAATTATAGCATACCTTGAGAAACAAGTTCTTGCTCAGCCCACCCCCAAGTGTACAACATATTGAGCCTGAAAAGTGAAAACGGATACTGAATCAGAAATATGAAAATAAAATGAACAAGACATGGCAGATAGTATTAAAGGATTTTACCTGAGAGTCAACGGTCAGAACAACTGGATGCTCATACTGGGAAAATGGAATCTGAAGCTCCTGTGAAGAAAAGAGAAAAAAACGCAACAGTTAGTGAGGGGCAATGAGGGAAGCGAAGGTGCACAAAACAGAAATGTTGGAAGCTCGTTTTGTAAAACCTTCAAGCGCGCCAGAGGTTGTTCCTTTGAGAAACCCATGATGACTACGAGCGGCGAAATGAATGGTGATGGAGTCGAAGCGATTGCAATTCGTAGTGCAAAACAAACTACTGCGTTCCAATTCCAAACCCGAAAACAGTGTGTAATAATAATATGGGTTATGGGTTATGGGTCAGTCACTCAATGTCCACACCTCCAAACCCGTAAATCGTAATAACATTTAGGCAGATGATAAAGACACCAATGGTTTATGCTGGACGATGGGGAATCCATGGGATCAGTCTCTCCGGAAGAGAGATGCCCGTGAAGAGAGGTGTGCGTGCGGAGGAGGAAGAAGAAGAGAGGTGTAAAAGAAGAATAGAGGTGTGCGGAGGAGAAAGAAGAAGAGAGGTGCACGGAGGAAAAATAAAGAAAAAGAAGTGCAAATAAGGGTAATTTAGAGATTTCATATATTTAAAAAAAAAAAGAGGTGTATTTATATAAAAATGGAGGTGTATTTATCACCAGCCTTTTCTTTATCCTGTGCTCCATGAATTTGTTAGTGAATATTTTTTCTAGTAGAGGTGTTTCTTGGGCCTTTGGCCCAAAAACAAAATTTAGATTTGTACTAAAAATAATAATTTTTTTTCGTGACAGGCCAAACACTTTCAATAAGATGTATAATTATTTGTATAATAAAACGGATTGGTATATAAATTGTTTTAATCTGGATTATATTTACCGTTGATAAATTGTCACACTGTTGTCAACGTAATCCTTCTTATAATATAGAATAGATAAAAAAGGTTAAAATCCTTATTTAATTTAATCTTATTTTAATTTTTGGTTTTAATTTGATCTTCAATAAAATAATTTAAATTATTGTAATTTGGGACTTTCGTCTAAATGATTTAAACGGAATTAATTGTTAGCCACGTGGATGTCAGGTGGATGCACGTAGATGCATAGGTGGACGCCAAATTTCATGAATACACCTGGAACCAGAATGACCCGTTCTGAAACCAAAACAGTCTGTTTTGCATGCACAAGTTATGTGTTAATTTTACAATTAGAACGGGCCGTTCTGGTGTTAGAACGGACCATTCTGAATTCAGAACGGCCCGTTCCATATGCCAAATTTATACACCAATAATGTAACCAGAACGGGACGTTCTGGTTTCAGAATGGGCCGTTCTGGTTTCAGAATGGGCCGTTCTGGTTCCAGGTGTATTCGAGAAATTTGGCATCCATACCTGACATTCACGTGATCAACAGTTAACTCCGTTTAAATTATTTGAACAGAAATACTAAATTACAATAATTTAAATTATTGAGGATCAAATTAAAACTAAAAATTAAAATAGAATTAAATTAAAATAAAAAAATATTATAAAGGACTAAATAAAGATTTTAAAAAAAAAAATCAAACACTAAAACTTTTAGATTATGAAATAAAAATAATTTTCATAAGAAGGTTAAATCTAACCGACTCTTTATTTGTGTCTTAATAAAAGAAAGAAATTATTTTTCCATAAATAGATTGGTATTTATTTATTGTTGTATAAAGAAAAAAGAAAAGCTGAAGAATTGGGGGAAGAAGGGATAGAGGAGGTGGCACTGTGATATCATACCATATCATATATTCTTTCTTTGTTCATTGGGTTAGGGTTCTCTTCTACACTTTCAATTCTCAATCCCTTTTCTCACCCACTCTGCGTTCTTCCATACGGTACCTTCCTTTCTCTCGCTTTATCCACAAGTTCTCATCTTTTCCTTCTTTCTAAGTCAATGGCGTAAATTCAATTCCCAATTTTCAAAAGCCAAAACTTTTATAATTTTCTGTAATTTGGCTTCTATTTATTAGTTTAATGTTATATTTATCTATCTTTAACTCCATTATCAATAGGTTCTGTTTATTGAGCGGTTTGGATAAAGAATAAAATCATTAAATGGCCTTCGTAGCACATCAACCGCAGGTACTTGGATTATGAATTTGTTTGTTTGCTCACAAGTTGTGTTTACAATTTACTTCCAATTTTGGAATATCAAGTTTTATGCTTGTTGTTTGTCGAATTAGTGGCTTTAGTTATGGCAAAATGTCAAATGGTGTGATTTTTTATCGTCAACGTTTAGTGTCCTTGTCGAATATGTGCTTTTTTGTTGCAGAAAGATGCTCTCAAATTTTAGTTTTGGCTTTTGCAGAATTCAATTTTTGTACTGGTATTGTATTAGACTATTAGTACCATGCGGTGATGTTTTATGGTGGTAATGATTCAACTGTTGTATTTGTACAAAGTTTAATAATTGGAGCATCAAAGTTTCACCCTTTAGTTTTGAAATATCCTGGGGGTGGCAAGATCAATATTTTACTGAAAGTTGAGAGTTGAGACTATATACATAATACATCTCTCTCTTATTTGCAAAGTCTTGCCTCATCTGAAGTATAATTATTATTGGCTATTTTACTAAGCGTTTTGTATTTGTCATGGGATATTGTTTTTGTTGTGACTTGTGACAAATTTCCATGTTTAGATTTTGAATGGTTGGGTATACGATTTATTAACTTTGTAGATGACTTGCTTTCTTTTCTGCAGGGTTTGTATGTGACATCTTCCTCAAGGCATTTTCCATGGAGCAAAAAGCTGAAGTTGAAGCAGTGTTTAACAAAGCATCACATGATTGGAAGAACTGACTGGCAGTGTGCAGTAAAGCGGAATATTTGTTTAAGGTGGAGTATGTGTATTCTGGTGATGGAAAGTAAATATGGTTTTCATTGTCTGGGTTACTTTTGGAGGGTGTCTTTCAGTAAGAGGTGGCCCTATGATAAAGAATTAGCATAATCAAATTCCAATGCTACTCTAAGGGAGCTTCTTTTAAATAAGATTTAAAAAAAAATTACAAGTCTTGGTGAACCAATTATATTTACATTACTCTTAAGTAATTTTGTCATCTTCAAATAGTTTTCTTCTGCTTGCTTGTAGAATCAGAGGTTTATATTATGCAATGAAAATGATTTATGGAAGGAGAAAAAACAATTTGTGCTTGTCAATGTTACACCAAATGTTTGATGCATTGCTCATGTGTCTTCTCTTTCTGTTTCTATACCAATATTAAAATTTGTACTTGTTGATTTCAATGTAGAGTAATGATAAACGTACATCATTTTTTGTGTCTATCTCTTTGTCACATTATTTATTACATTTTTAACGTCTCTCTATTTTCTCTCCTCTCTCTTGGTTGTACAAGTACCATTTTTCTTCTATATAAATTCATTTTTAGGATTTCAATATTTCAGTTATTTTTTAAGTTGCATACCCTTGTGATTGTTGCACATGTAGCAACGTGCACAAACTAAATATGGATGACCTTGTAGTTTTGCTTCTCTTAAAGGTTTTATTGTTTCCAGTGTGGGGCCTCCTTGCTTTTGTGTATCCAAGGTCAAACCTTTGAGGATTTCAGGCTTCAAAGGCAGCCCCCAAAATGATGATTCAAGAATCAGGGCTAATCGGTTGAAGGCACCCAAGACTTCTGTTAGACTAGGAGAGAGTGGGGAAGCTCACAACGTTCCACTCTCTTATGCATCTGAATCAAATGATAGCCTTGCAACATCATCTACTTTTCATAAACTTTTCAATAAATGGCTGACAATGTTGCGCACACAACCATCAAGCCAAGATGTGGATCAAGTTTTTGAAGAACCTGCATCGGGGATTTTACCAAAAACCCTACAAGGGACTCAAATTAAGGAAAGAGGTGAGCTTTTGAAGGTGGCATGGTCCCATTTTCTGGCCCTGGATGCAACAATAAAGGTTCCTTTGTTGATATTGTAAGTACAATAGTTTTTTCCTCTCTGCATGTTATGCAATCTTTGCAAAAGGAGGGTGTGTTCGTATTTTGTATTGTATCATATGCATGTTTTGTTATTGTTGTCTTCAAGCAAATTTGTGGTATGCTTGTCATGTATTTAATTTCATCATGCGTCAACTTGGATGTCTTGATTGAAGCAAACTTTAGGTTGGAATTTTTGGTGAAAGTGAATTAACCTGAGTGTATGACATGCTTACTGCATGGTCAATATAGTATGCAACTAGGTTCTGCATCATTCTTCAATTTTCTTCCCTTTTAAACAATGTTAACAGCATTTGATGGCACAACAATTCTTTTATATGTCTTCTAACTTAATCTTTTATCTGCAGTGTTCCTTTCTACCTGGCTGTTAATGTAAAATATGGTGCTGAAGTTTCCAAGGAGTTAACTCCTTTATGGGTTTTGGGGCCACTCATTGTGGCTATCCAAGTCATGATAATCCGTTGGCTGTGTGCACTCTATGTCTTCAGCTTCAAACAGACTGTCAAATTACTTAAAAATTCTCCCTCTTACTGCATTTTGGCCTACAGTTACGTTTTTCGTGGCAAGCTCAAAGAGGATATCTCAACGTATGTTTTGCAGCCTATATTGAGCGTAAAAAATAGAGACTATAAACAGCTAACGAGAAGAAAGTTGAAGCAATTGCAGGAATGGATAGTGGAGTTGTATCTTGATTACGTGGAATCAATATGGCCCTATTATTGTCGAACAATCAGATTTTTGAAGAGGGCTAATCTTATTTAGGTTTGAAAATGAAAAATATTCTTAGGGGTAAGTCTCCAGAAAGGCTAAAGAGGGATGAAGGAGAGTATACTCCGTAGCGTTGAAATTTTTAAATGAGATATGGCCAATCCCATTTTCTGCTGGGGTTTTGGTGTTTTGAGCATGTTAATGGTCATGAGGAAGTTAAGTTCCCAATTCATGTTTTATTGAAAATGTTACCTTATTCTTAGATTAGTATTAGGTTGTAATCGTTTTTTTTTTGCTGTTGAATCGCTGCTTGTGAAATTGATTCTATTCTGCAATTGATCATCTGGCAGAGTTTGCCCCAAAGTCTCTCTCTATCCTTTTGTATTATTTAACATTATGTTGTTTAAATTAGGAAACTATTGGTGCGTAAACCTCGTTCCGGTTGAATTGGCGAATAATAAGGCTAGGCCTAGCGAGTTTCTTTACATTTTCAACCACCAGAGTAGCCGATGTGGAGCTTCTTTGTCCCACCTGTCAGCCAGGAACCGGAGGATATATTGCTTTTTGGTTTGTATACAACATAATGAGGGAAGAAAACAGAGATGTGCACCTCTCGTTTAACGGTAGAAAGGGAATTTAAGCTTTCTTTGCCACGTGGAATCACTTGAGAGTCATATGCGTGTTTGGTTGAAAATTCACTTGTTTTACAATAGAATCATGGCGAATGGCACATAGACGCAGAAGTTACTGAGAGTAGCTTTGGGACTTGGGAGACAGACGTGGATCATTTCCCCCTCAACGCAAGCCCAAACATACTGTATGAATAATATGATGGTTGGATCTGCTGCCTGCTCCCTGCTACCATGTATGAACTGAATTCTGGATACATTAAAATTAGCTTTATTAGCTGAATAAAGTAAAATGACTTTTTGTACAATTATTTGAAAATTCGATGAATCTCAGCCTAGAACCAGCTTTTCTTTACTCCTGTAAAAATTAATACTTTCCTTAATATCCACTCTACGAAGAGATTGAATTTTGAAAGGAGGAAATTTTAGCCAAACAAATTGAATTTGTAACTACCTTTTTAATGCAAACTGATGATCGCTTGTATAAAAATAAGCACACAATAGCTTTGATTAAAGACTACAAGAGAGCTTTGCCAGAAAAAAGGCTAAAAGAGTGGCGTGCTATTCGGAATTAGAATACGATACAATTGCAGCAGTGTCTGGACACGATCGCTACGGGAACGAATTAGCTTTGATTAAATGCTGCATGGAACGTAGTTTAGAGTGCAGCTAGTTTTCTTCCCCTTATTTTTTCTTTCTGTACGTAACCAACGAAAAGAAAAACACAACTTAGGGAGCCGAACCGTTCGGTATTGACTTCCATAAAACTACACTATGCACTGGCTAAGACAAACAACTATAAAATGGACATCGAATGCAGAATAGTAATACAATAGCTGGCGGCAATTATTCACTTTGTGATGGGTATACTAAACCATAATAGCAGCCCGTAGCACATCCAACTATACTACGCACTAGCATAGACAGGCAAACAACTAGGAAATAGATGTGAAATGCAGAATAAAATAGAGGGTTTAAGGCCCTCAACACATACATCAATTTCATACCGAATCATATAAATAACAGCCCTTAATTCTCAAAAAAAAAAACAAAAAAATAACAGCCCTTAACGCAATTATAACCCCACAAAAATATGATTGGGAAATCTGTTTTTAGGCTAGGAAATTGATGGTTGAGGCCATGACTGTCTTTTCAGTCGTAAGTTCCAAAATTCCTGCTCCTGGTAATAATAACGCCTTGGTTTGCGTTAACCTTTCTATGATAACATGCATTGATTTCAGTTCTTCTTCACCACGTGTTTTCCATTGGGAAAATTAGCTTGGGAATCTGCTGGTGGAGTTGATCCATTGCTGCATTGTTCTTCAAAACCTACTACAGGATCTGTATATGTCTTTAAACAAGACAAGCTAGACAGAAATGTGGGAGCATGGATTAGTAACTGGAATGTTAGAAAAAACTTATGTACTTTCTTATTAGGTTATTTTTTTAATGCTTGGTATATCTTTCTTGTATTCAACTTTATTTTTCAGTATATAGAGGCTAACAACCCCGAGTCAATCATTCTTAAATGTATTCTTCGCTTAGATTTTTTTTTTCTTCCTAACGCGTGCTTACCTGCTTGATTTTATGACTTCACCGTCTATTGTTATTTGCACATCAAATATGTTGCCTGCAAAAAATTATACTTATTATCATTTGACACTTGACTTTTTTTTTGAAGTAAAAACTAATATTTTAATGTATAAAATAAAGATTGGCAAGAAACAAAGGAATGAAATCTTGGGGAGGGTATATGTACAGTTGTACACATCCTTTACCCCGAGGAATGGAGAGGCTATTTCCAGGATTTGAACCTGCAAGTCCAAGCCACAAGGCAACAATTTTACAGTGGGCACCAAAGCTCACCCTCAACCTATAAACATTAATTAACAATAGCCACTGTTTGGAAAATCCTAGCAGATAGCGTACAAACTAGTTGTACACATACTTCCGCAAGTGGAGAGGCTATCAGGATTTGCGTTGCACCACAAACAGTCTCTGTTGCGGCACAGAGCTGCTCTACCCTGCTTGGGCATCACAGCACTGCTACAAGCTGCTTTTATCGTGCTTAATGATAGCTTCAAACTCTTGATCGATTTCTTTCCATTTAAATGATATGCATCCATTCTTCCTAATGAACTTTGACACAGATCACAATTTTTTTCTTTATACTTTGTTCATTTAAAATTGACATTTCCTTCCATTATCACTGTTCTAGTATATTTTGAAAATTTACAAACACAAAAAATTAATTTTTCTGAGAAGTAAAATTAATCAAATGGGCCTTATATGAAAAAATAAAATAAAATTAGAGGAGTACATGCTTGAACTGCAGCAAAATATTCACAAAGGTATGAACAATGGGCTCTTCATGCATAAATGAAAGGAATCTGTAATACTAGTGGCGGGAAAGCAAGCATCTTATATTGCATATTTAGTAATATACATAATACATATCCTTTTTAAAGGGCTAATGTTGCATACCTCCATAAAACCCGTTCGTAGAGAAATATTTAGACAGCAACCGATGAGTGTAATCATCATTATATTTTCTGAATCTCTCAATGCATTGTGGACTGTCCAAGTGACTGTAGATTTAAGAATAATAAATTATTTTGATCTGGACAAAGAAATTGCAGCTAATAACACTTTTCAATCCAAAGATTTTAGCTTTATGTCCTTTAAAATATAAGGCACATATTTTACATCATTTCAAAATAGATACTTTTTTGCCAAAAGGTAAAATAGAATAAAGGAAAAGAAGAATTAGATATGATAGCAGGAAAATGTCACTCTTTTGGAATACCCTCCAGGGGAGTGACTGCGATATGCAGTTTGGGCATACTAATGACTATGTAATTGACAATGAAGTTATATGACTAAAGAGGTCAGATGAGCAATTGAATTTTATTGAAAATATTGAAAATATCCATGGGAAATTTCACTCTTCTCCATGAGATACTGAAACGGCACTAGTCTTCCTAAACCACTATGGTAAGGAGGAATTCAAAATGGACTACATATATATATATGTGTGCAAAACAAGCACTTATCAATGGAGAAGTAAACTTTTGCTTCTTTTAAGTTTCCAAATCATATACAATGAAAAAGAACTGAATTAGCAATTATATGGTACAAAATCAACTGGAAAACGTAACCATACATTCTATAAGGTGTTAAGCCCACATACACCAAAGGTTAAGACTAAGTTACAACAATAGAAAGTGACATGGCAGTATGGTCATCCAAACAAATAAAGTTTTTTTGCTTCCAACTAATATTACAGATTGCTAAGATAAAGATAATAAGTTCGAAGGAAGTTTCTGTTCTGAAAAAGAGAGAGGGAAATTAAATATATAAAAAAGCTGTTTTAATACACAGGTACCAATTCCAGTTTCAAGTTTCAATACAAAGAACTTCATTAGTGTCTCAAAAATGGCTTGAAATACTTATACTGTTGATCACATCTATTGCAAAATGTTAGATAATTTCAAGCATCTTGCTGCCACTAAAGCCAGAACCTTGGCACTTCATCTATTTGGCTCAGTTGGCAACTGAAGCTCCATGTGAGCGATCTTTAATCACAATGCAAGTGCTTAAGTCTTCCAACAAGAGGTGTCTATGGCCATAGCCATACCATTAGAAATTGGGGATTAGGCACACATCTAAAGGGTGTGGAAACACCTCATGGGAGACCATACAAACACTGGGAAACGTTCACAATCTTATATGAGAAAGAAGAAAAAAGCCCAGGAAGAGAGGGTGAAAAAGTCAAGGCTGCTAAAATTAATACTTCGCCAACAGAATATTGCAGAATCAAAGTTGGAGCATGATGATTCTCCTAAATTCCTATTGCAATTTCTTTGATTATCCACATCTACATGTTCTCGCCCTCCCTTGTTTTATCTTTTCCCCTTCCCTCTCTATTTTTTTATTACAAATATTAGCACCTATTCTGGTGGATCCATCTTGTTTAATTTCAATATCTGCGGTGGTGGTATCAAATCCTCCCTAAAGAAATCAGTCAAGCCAAACATATAGTTTGTATGGACCCATTCTACATGAACTGTTAAAAATTCTACTTTAAAACTAGCTTATAAATGAGTTAAAAATAAGATTTTGGAGAAGCTAATAAAAGAAAACTTCTACAAAATAACTTATGCATAAGCTTATTTTAGCTTATGGAGAAAACTTTTTCATTTATCTTTCCTATTTTGCTCTCCTAAAAGTACATCTGGATAAGTTTACCCATGTACACCAGTAGTTGTATTTTCTAACACTTTACTAGTTGAACATTTTAACTACACTACAACCAAACTTCTACCCAACTTCAAGTTCAAAAACACCACGCAAGTGGCAAAACCTAAAAGATAAAGATCCACTCACAATCATCCACAATGCTGTCACCACAAGAAAACAATAACAACGAAAAAAGCCACTCGAAATTCCGACCACAATAAAAATAAAAAAGCTTTTCAGTTCAAGATTTCTACAGAAAATTCAAATCAAAAAAATAAAAAATAGTTATCCACACACCGAATCGAATCAACAGTGAATAAATAATAATAATAAAAACATACTCGAGACCATCGGTGAATTTAGGTTTTTTGTCATCGTCGACGTGGCAAACGCCGTTATTTGTTGCAGGTTCCACCTAGCGAAAGAAAACCCTGGAAATAATTAGCGTAGAGCGCGTGCGCATGTTGAAGCGAGTGAAGTGAGTGACTCACCTGGTTGTTGGGGGAGGAGTTGCCGGAATCGGAGGCGGCGCGTGGAGGAGGAGAAGGTGAAGGCACGGTAGCCATTTTGAATTTGTCTTGCAAATTCAGGTTTTTTGCATTTGCAAATTGGGATTGGAATTGGATGCGACAAAGTGAATATTTCTAACAAAGTCGCCACCTTACTGCACTCTACTCCTGGCCCACATGGTTGTGTGCTAACACCATCTGGTCTTCACTCTTCACACAACTGATGGCTTGTTTTTAGTTAATTAATTGTGTATATAATTTCTTAAATATTTCCAAATTTTAGTTTTTATTTTTTATTTTTAAAATAAGTTTAATACTATCTGTACATGCCCAAGTTATATATATATAATTTAGATTAAATATGTTTTGAGTTTAAGTTAAAAAAATTATTTCTTAAATTTAAAATTATTATTTTTGTCATGTAATTTTAATTAAAATAATTTTCAAAATAAAAAAGAATATGGTTGAAAAAAAATCATTGAAGATAGTGACTAAATTTCTTGACAAAAATTATTCATTGAAGTTAGTGAATACTTTGTATAAATGAATTATATGAATATAAAAAAAAAAAATTCAAAATCACATTAACATTACATAGAGAGTTTTTTACTCAAATAATATATTTTTAAAAAAAATTTATCTAAATAGCAACTATGCAAATTTATTTCCTCAACTAGCATCATTTACTGTTTACATATTTTTTTTTTTTCGTTTTAGATCTCTGGGAATTTTGCATTTAGAACGGTTCGTTCTGCAACTACAACGACCCGTTCTGCATGCATTCTCGTCGTGTTTTTTTTTTGCATGAGCCGTTCTAGAGTTGTTTTTTTTCTTCACATAACTTCAATGTTGGAACGACCCGTTCTAAACTAGGGATTTTAGCCCTTTTTAGTAGTTTGGAACGGGCTGTTCTGCTTTTGGAACAGACCGTTCTGACCAATTCTATGCACTATGCCTTTTTTTTATCAATGTAATATGAATTTTAATGTTTAGCTTATAAACTATTATAATTATACATTATTTGGACATGTTTTCGTAGTGTGATGTGCAAGTTATCTAGATTTTTCATTATTAGCCACAGTTTGACTCGTACAAGTTTCGAATCTATTAAGACAATGTCCCATTATTATCATCTCGTGTTTTTAAGTTTAAGACACTATAGTTTCATACTTCAAAGGTGTTTCCTTTAAATCTAGCTTCAAACTTAGCATTGCAGCGAACACAATTTACTCTTTCAACTCAAACACAACGTAGTCTCAAAGAATAACATCAAGTAATTAAATTTATTGAATATTAACTTTATAAATATAACTAAATAAATTTATTAAAACTCATTATAACAATAAAATCAATGGTGACAGGAACTAAATCCATGACCAATATTTGGACATGTCTTCCTAGTGTGACCAGAGGTGTGACAATAGGAACAATTTTTGAGTGCTTAACCTTGTAAGTGCAATGGTTGACAATGTGAAATCTGTTAATGGCATCTTGCATTTGTTCTTTTGTTTGGAAGCGTTGGCCAACAAAGAGTGTTCCAGGTGGATACACAACCATTTCACGTTCCAACAGATGACTATACTCAGTGTCTTGTTGTTGGATTTCATTGGGAAAGTTTAAAAAGTGTGGAGGTGGGTTGTATATGGCTACTGGTTCTAGTGGTAGATTATTTGGAATTGGAAGGATTTCTTCTTCACCATCATCTTGATGTTCAAAGAGGATTTCGTCTTCGTTCTCGTTAAAAGGATCAAAGACATTTTCTGTTGGGAGACCAACAAGAAGATGATCTTCAATGTTAGTTTGAATATTGGGTTGAGAGGCAAAAGCTGTAGCTTGGTCAAATGGCTAAGAAAGTATTTGATTAAGGTCCACGACTGGACCAGTTAAAAGCTGTGTGTATGACTCAACGTCGTGGTTAGAGGGAATATCATAAGAATGGTGGGTTAGTATTTTGATAACTTTGATAAATTTGGTATGGTGAAAGTGAAGGTGAAACCTGTGGTGAAAGTGAAGGTATTTATAATGGAAGGTTCTGACACCTAGAACGGGCCATTCCAAAACCAGAACGGCCCGTTCTAAATTTCTAAAGAGGCCTAAAACCCTAGTTTAGAACGACCCATTCTAGTTTTAGAACGCCCAATTCTAGTTTTAGAACGCCCCATTCTAGGTGTCAGAACGGTCCGTTCTGACTTTAGAACGGGTCATTTCAGATGCAAAATTAACGCATGTTCAAGCAGAACAACTCGTTCTGGTTGTAGAACGGGCCGTTCCAAAATGCGAAAAAAATTAAAAAATAAGTGAACAGTAAATGGTACTAGTTGGGGAAATAAATTTGCAAAGTTGTTATTTAGGTAAAAAAATTTTAAAAATGTATTATTTGAGTAAAAAATTCTACAATAGTAGCAATGTAGCATCAAATAAATTTAATTTAATATTTTTACTAATGAAAATACTAGTAAAAGAGTTTTGTGTGACATATTCAATAATCATTGAATTTTGTTTTGCAAAATTCACTAACAATATGTTTTTTAATAACATTAATATGTATTTTTCATTAGAAACATGCATGCTCAAGTAGATTAGAACCACTATGAATAGAAGAATTCTCTCTTTAAATATTTAACACAATTGCATTCATTTATATCCTTAACTTTGGTATCATTGAGATAAGAGATGTCATTTATATGTACGTATGTGTGGAAAGTTAAAAAATCATTATATAATAATAAATAAAATTGTAATAGAGAAACTATTCAAAAATTGAAATAGAAAAGAAAAATAGAGATTTGAGATGATTTTCATTTATTCAATCTTCTATATAGAATAATATAATATTCTTATGCATGAAGATAATTAATTTGATAGTTTTGGTAGGATTCTATTATGTATTCCTAATTATATATGTCCATTTATCTTTTCCATCTTTGAGCTAGACTTTCAAGATCATTGATTATGCTTGATAAGAATAAAATAAAATATACGACTGCAACTACCGTATCATGCCATGATTGTAATTTCCATATTTATCTTAACATGACAGCAATGTATATCAATTTGATATCTGTCAGTGGACAAAATTAGGATACTAGCCATATTAGTTGGCGTAATTCTAGCCTAGGATTTATTCATGTTTCATGTATATATTAGCATATCATGATCAATATACAGCAACAGTTTCGAATACATTTTGGCATGGTATCAGAGCTTAACCTAGCTCTGATATCCAACAGCTCGAGAACGCAATTGGACTGCTAAAATGGCAGAGAACAGAGAGAAGATTAAAACCGAGGCGGTGAAGAAAATGCCATCGCCCTACGATCTGAGTGCTAGTGATAATCCCGGAAACGTGATTACACAAGTACAATTAAAAGGAGAAAACTATGAGGAATGGGCCACGGCGGTGAAGATCTCTTTGCGGGCTCGAAGAAAATGGGGTTTCATAGATGGAACTCACGAGGAACTTGAAAAAGACACATCCGAGATGGAAGATTGGTGGATAATTCAATCGATTCTTGTGTCTTGGATACTAAACACCATAGAACCCAGTTTACATTCCATTGTTGCCTACATGGAAAACGCAAAAGACTTGTGGGATGACATCAAGGAACGATTCTCGATCGTGAACGGACCAAGAATCCAGCAGCTAAAGTCAGAATTGGCAGAATGCAAACAAGGAATGACTATGGTTGCCTATTATGGGAAGATGAAAACAATGTGGGACGAACTAGCAAATTACGAGCAAATCCCACAATGTAAATGTGGGGGATGCAACTGTAATATTGCAACCAAACTTGAGAAACGGAGAGAAGAAGAAAAAATTCATCAGTTCTTGATGGGGGCTGGATGACGAGACCTATGGAACAGCACGATCAAATGTTTTGGCAACAGATCCATTGCCCTCATTGAATCAGGTATATGCCACCATGGAGCAAGAAGAAAGGGTGAGAACGATCACCAGGTCTAAAGAAGAGCGAGGAACGATCGTGGGACTGGCTGTGCAAGCGGAGACTAAGAACAAGCTGCGTAATGAAGCAAAAGAAAAATCAGTTATGTGCGCGCATTGTGGAAGGACAGGACATGACAAGGGCAGTTGCTTCGAGGTCATAGGTTATCCAGATTGGTGGGGAGAGAGGCCACAGAATGAAAACAAAAGTATTGGGAGAAATCAATCAAGGACAGGGTCCTTCTGAGGGAAAGGAGGAGCAACTTGTGTCAATGTGGCACATACTGGTGCAAGTAGCAATGACTCAAGGTCAGAAACCAGAAAACCGGAAGTAGCAGGACTAAGTAATGAGCAATGGCAGATCTTGGCAGCCATGTTGAATTCTCCCAAGGCAAATGAAAATGAAAAGATGACTGGTAAGAAAACATGTGACTTGTGGATTGTTGACAGTGGCGCCTCTAACCATATGACAGGAACGCTAGAAAACTTGTGGGAGAGCCGAGCCTTAGACGGATGCCCTGTGGGATTGCCAAATGGTGAATTAGTGCTAGCAAACAAAGAAGGATCAATTTTCCTTGATGGAGGACTGAAATCGAAAATGTCCTATATGTCCCGAAGTTGAATTGCAATTTGATTTCAGTGTCACAATTAACAGATGAAGCAAAATGTACAGTGCATTTTACTAATAGATTTTGTGCAATGCAGGACCACACTTCGAGGACGCTGATTGGAGCGTGTGAACGAAAAGATGGCCTCTATTGGTATCGTGGTGTGAGTGGCATAAAGGTTTATCAAATCAACGCAGAAGATCAACTCGAGATTTGGCACCAGCGAATGGGACATCCCGCCTATCAGATTGTTGAGAAAATTTCGAATGTGAGCAGCGGGCATAGAAATAAGAACACAAATCAAACGTGTGAAGTGTGTGAGAGATCAAAGCAAAGTAGGAAAAAATTCCCATTTAAAAAATGTTTATGATAGATAAAAAAGTCATACTTAGGATATATATTTTTAAAAAGTTAGGTTCAAACCTACTAAATTATAATATAATCTAGTATGACTTAATTTATTTTCATTTTTAATTGTAATCATAGATATAAAAACTTGTAAAAAATAATTATGATATATATTTATACTTTTAGCAGTTACATGTAAAATTTTTAATATTATAAATATATAAATAAGTATTACCCTGCAATTTAAAATTTATGGACCCGTCACTGGACTCAAGCT